GATTGAGTGAATGCGTTTTAAGCATGCCACTGTTGTATCTTAAAGGATTCGACGACCCACCAAAACTTGATCCAAATTGATCTTTTCATGCCCGAGCAGTGCGTTGTGACGTCAGAATGTGGGTTTTGAATCGCAGAAAATACCGATTAACGGATAGTTGCCACTTTTGCTTGCTGTCTTCATCTGTTACGCTTTGACGCAAACCACTGGTATCACGGCCAATACTGCCGCCGCGCCGTGGCCTCCCGTAAGGTTCATGCCAAAGAGAAACTTGACAGAATTGACGAGCGGTCATGTGAAAAAGTAACAATGAACCAGGAGCGCGTGCCACAACATTTCTAAGATTGAACCCAACCCAAACATTTTGATTGGATACATTTCAAGAACCAGCTCCAACGCTAGGAAGCGCTTGTTACGTAGGTCCTGACCCCACCATCCGATCGTGAAGTTCTATGCAAACAGCAGATTTTTGCGGCGAAGGCTGAACGTACTGCGATGCTTGTCACGGTTCATCCTGCCCTCTGACGTCACCTAACCTTGAGCGCTGCGGCCGTAGCCACCAGCCGTAGGCCCACCCAGTCAGTGATAAATAACTAGCACCTGAAACAACTACAAGTCAGCCGCTACGAGTGGGTGAATTCCAGAGCAGGCGCTTTAACTTACCGAGCTGTCTGGATGGTTTTTGAACTACTTAACTGTAATTGCAAAAATTGTTAAAGTGCAACTTTTCTAATCATCGAGCTCTCAAACGATTTCGTAATGGTTCGCTCCCTTTAAGTGACTGTATGTATGCACGGACAAACCTATTCATGCGTTGGTTTGCACAGGTGCTGCCAACTGCGAGTCTTTTTCTTGCGTGTAGGAAGGGAGAGAGGGGGAGGGAGAGTGTGTGATAGACTGGTTTCCACCCGAGACGATTGCCAACGCTCGCCTCGGTTCGCGCTCTGCACCGGCGTGCGCTAGCCGTGCCTGCTCCCCGACGCGCGCGCCGACCCGGTCACGTGGTCTGCGCGCACGTGGCGGCGCCGGCTGGCGCAGGTCACTGACCGCGCGGGCCGGCCGTGTGCCGCGCAGGGCTCGTCGGCGATCTGGCAGAAGAAGATGCGGACCTACCACCGGGTGATGGACGTCAACAAGGACGGCACGGTCAGCTGGGACGACTTCCAGGACATGGCGCGCAAGTTCGCCGAGCTGGGCCACCTGTCGGAGCAGCAGCAGGCCGAGTTCGTCGCGCAGCTTAAGGTGCGCCCAGCGCGCGCCGGCCGCGCCGCGCCCCGGTGCGGCCCGCGTCCGCGCGCCCCCGGCCGCACGCGTCGGGCCGGCGGCCGTGGTAAGCTGCGTCAGGCCCAGACGGCCGGCGGCGGCTCGCGGTTTTTGTGGGCCCGACGCTGGTCCTGTCACTTGCACGCCATATGGGGCCGGCGATCTATAAAAAATGGCAGTCGCGCATGAGCCGTTTTCCCCGTGTCATCGAGAACAGGTAACCCGATTGAGCTGGTCAGCGGGGATGCGCCGCCTGTTTGTGTTGGTTAGGCTGCGTCGCCCGTCTGGATGACAATGGTGCTAGCGGGCGGTCTTCAGTGCAGATAACTTCGTCAGGGGGGGGGGGGGCTTGGTGGTGCTCTGCCGTAGGAGGAATGTGGATGAGGGACTACAACAAGCATTCGCGATGTATTTTCTTGTTGCGATTTGTTTTTGACGAATCTTCGTGGCACCTGGCATGTCTGCAGAATTGGATAATGCTGTCAGCCAACTAGTGAGGTACCTTTGAGCCTGTGCCAAAGGAAACGTTGCTGCCGGACACACAGCAGGCTGGTGCTCTGGGTCCAACACAAACCCGGAACTAATATCAATGTTTAATTAAATCACCTATCTCCTGTAAACCCTGCTGACTAATAATGTGAGGATGCAGGATGTCAGATGCATATAACTGATGCCGATAAACCATGCTCCATAGATGTTCTCCTGACTGCTTTTGTACTTGCCCCCCCCCCCCCTCCCCCGTTTTCCCTTGCACAACTTGAGTGTGTCATTCGACAGCGTGTACCGGCCCCTGCGAAGGAGGGCTCAGAGTCCTCCATTGGGTTTTCCGGAATGGCTTCTAAACGGTCCATAGCACGGTGATGGAACTTTGGTTACTTGCGTTAACAAAATTTCCAAACACATTTTGTGGAGATTCACAGGTTTTGACGTTAATAGTTCAAGATCTATGACCGCTCTCTTGAGGTAGTGTCGCCGATATTTTCGTCAGGGGCGACAAATGAAGTGTATTCTGGCAAGGGATGCACTTTTAACAGGGTTCTTAAGCTTATCTTCCGATCTTTATCCCAGGGGAACGCAGCACTGTCGTTCTGGTGACTTCTAAAATGCATGGCCATCCGAGGTCAAGCTTGGTCAAACTTTGACCTTTGTGAACACACTTGCCCGTTTGATGGCCATATGTATGAGCCTTTGTGGCTCACAGCCTGCGACTCGGCAATGCCCTTCTGACCCTGTTCTGCCGAGTGATTTGGCTTGTTGTGATATATCCGGACGGACTGATGAGAGAATCGCCTTGACCTCTTTGACCTGGCATGACACTACGGGTCACATTGGTCAATGTCCGTCAGTGCCTATCTGAAGTTTTTGAAGAGCTTTTCAAGGCGTCTTTCGCATGTTGTGGTATGCTTAGTTTTGAGATAACAGGAGGGGTCTGTAAGGGGCATATCTGTCCCGTTTGATCTAGTTTGACCTGTCAAAGGTCGCATTCATCATTGCTGGGACAAACATGCTTATGGAGTTTGACGAGAGCTTTCCAATGCCGCTCTGCGTGGCTTTAACTCATTTGATTTTTGAGATATTTCGAAGGGTCTTCAGCCCTGTTTTCCAGATTTAATTCAGGATTAAATGTCGTTGGTTGAGGCCTTGATGCGGCTGTTCACGATGGACTCCCAACTGGTCCTCATTGAATGATGGCACAGTAGCTTCGTGTCGCGTCTGTACTGTGTTCCTGGCCTTCCCTGACCCACCGATTTTTCGTGGTCAACGTATCAGAGTTCCAGAGACTCATTAACACAGTTTTGATACGTCCCGTAGCCCTGCCTCCTCTGCGTGTCAGGGTTTCCCGCAGCCCCCCACCCCCATCCCGCCGTGGGGTGGTTGGCCTGTGACCTATGAAATGTCATCCTTCGCCGCCACCTTTGCCGGCGCAGTGTTCATGCATGGCTTCGAAGCTGCGGACGGCGTCCGCGTGTTCGGACGGCGCTGGCCGGCCGCCGGTCGCTGCCGCGCCGCCCTGGGCGGTGCTCGTGTTCACCTGTGCTGGCCAGCCGCCGGTCGCTGCCGCGCCGCCCTGGGCGGTGCTCGTGTTCACCTGTGCTGGCGCGTCACGGCGTCCGGTCCGCCGGCCGGTCGACCACGCACTAAAATTAGGACAGCAGTGAAGGGTCTCCTCTGTGTTGGTGCAGAGTCGTAGCCTTCCCTGGCAACAGCACAGGATCGCTCGGCCTGGTACGGTGTCTGTCGCCGCTGGTACAGTGTCTGTCGCCGCTGGTACAGTGTCTGGCGCCTCTGGCACAGTGTCTGGCGCCGCTGGTGCAGTGTCTGCCGCCGCTGGTACAGTGTGTCTCCACTGGTACAGTGTCTGTCGCCGCTGGTACAGTGTCTGTCGCCGCTGGCAGCAGTGCAGAAACTCTACATGTTCAGACAGCGTCTACCTCCCCTGACAGTTGTGCCAGTTTTTTTTTCGCTCCAGCACAGTGCGTCAGCTGACCGTGACGGCCCCGTAGGAATTCCCCGCCCTGGTACAGTGTTGGCCTCCGCGGTAGCGGGGGGGGGGGGGGGGGGGGGGATACGCCTGCCGCTCGCTCCGCGGACGTCAGACGGGCCGGCCCTCTGCCAGCACCGGCTCCGCGCGCCCCACCGGCCTTTTGACGTGTCCGCTGACGCCCTGCGGATGGCAGGAATTGCCCTGCGGTGGTGAGCTCCTCGGAAGTGTTGTTGTTGAATACTGTAACGCGGACATCCGAAGATGATGACAGCAAAGGCTATCCTGCGCCAAGACGAACCTTGCTGCGTGTTGGTGACGCAGTGCGGTGCTGTAGTTTGCGCTGACGACGGCTAGAAAGCCTGGTCGCTGAGACGGAGCGTATTTCTTTCAGTTTGTGTGGGAGAATAACTGGGGCGCCTCGGGTGACCCGTACTGCTTTATCACGGAGGAGGCGCTGCTCACATCCATGGAGCACGTGGTCAACACGCGCGACCTCAGCAAGAAGACGGACCATTTCCTACCCTACCTGTTCAAGGTAGCCCCCGTGGCCGCGCCCGCTGCTGCAGGGTCGCTGTCCGGCGCCCTGCAGGGTGTCTGGCACGACCTGGCTGGCCTCAGGTCGTGATCAGCGGGAGCTAAGTCGACAGCACTGCGGACACAGGCGCTTTGACTCGTGGTGGTGGCTGGCTAATGGTATTTGGCTGCTGACTGACATTACATGATACATGATGGTAGGTTTTCTATGACATATGCGACCATCACTCTTCGCTCACCGTGCTTATGTGTGGCCTGCGTTCTCTGTCCTTGTCTCGTGCGAGTAATGCTTTATCACATTCGTCAGCGATTCACATTCGCTTGTTAGATGTCACATGAGCATAGGGTGAGAAGGCTCGGAGCGCCCTCGCTGTGAAAGTCGTGAAACATTAACACAATGGCGATGCTTGGTCTGGATTTCCTGACGGTCCGTTTGGCATATCCATCTTGGGTGCGCTCATGCGCCCCTCGGTATCACCACTCGGTACCATTGGCGGGCGCTCCCTTCACTCTCGCTTACTCACTGCAACTCATCGATAGACTTGTGCGCTGCGTTTTTTTTTGGGGGGGGGGGGGGCTGTTGCGTAACTGTTCGGCCAGCGCTGTCCGCCGCCCTCTCGACCGTTGTGCTGATGGACCGTGCTGGCTCGCCCCAGGCGGTCGACTACAATGCCAGCGGCGACATCTCCGTGGACGAGTACAAACTGCTCTTCAAGTGTCTGGGCTTGACAGAGGAGGTGAGCTGCCCGGCAGCGGCGGCGCCCCCGTCCATCCCTCCGACCCCACGGCCGTGTCGGTCGCCGCCGCCCCCGCCCCCGCCGCCGCCGCCGCCGCCGCCGCCCGGCCGGGTGGCCCCAGTGACCTGCTTTATTTAGGCGGGAATCAGCAGCGTTGTGGCCCGTTTAATGCCGTGGTACTGGTCATGTTGCCAGCCTCATCTCGCCGCTGGCGAGAAGAACGGCTGTCAGCACGTGACTAACCCGGTAAGTCTGGTCGCCGTCTTCATGTGGTTCATATGGTTTCTCTCGTAAGTCTGGCTCCATCGCGCCTGCGGCTGAACGTTCAAACATGCCATGGCGCTTGTCACGTGTAACGGCGCATGTCACATGTAACGGCGCATGTGACGTGTAACGGCGCACCGCTCCGGCCAGCGTGTGCTGGTGTTAGCGTCTGCGCGGGGTGCGTCTCGCTGCTCACAAAGGCTTGCTCCGCCGCAGGACGCCGTCGTGTCGTTCAACTCGATCGACGTCAACGGGGACGGCACCATCACGCTGGACGAGTTCGTGGCGCACGGCAAAGACTTCTTCCTGACTGAGGACGAAACGCGGCCTTCTAAGTTCTTCTGGGGCCCGCTGACCCAGTAGCCGTCTGGCGGTGCGGTGCCGAACCCGAGGTTGCGACCGGCGCCGCCAGGGTCGCTCGTGGCAGGGATTGTAGTGGAGCAGGTATGGAGTGCTCGACTGCTTGTGACTTGCTGTAACTGCAGTCCGATTGAGCATCTTGTGAAGGCTGGGGCTGGTCACAGATGTGGTGGAAACAATGTTATCCAACGGTTCAACCGTGCTCTGATATGCGATATGTTGGCGCTGGTATGCTCACGGCGGTATTGATTTTCGGCTTACTGTCGCCACGTGGATAATCGGCCGGCCGGCTGGCTACGTTTTGGAAATACCCGTGCCTTGTCGCACTTAAGTTGGCTTGGCATTGCGTGATCCATGTGTGCCGACAGGCTCCCGGTGTTGCGTCAGACTGTCCGGCGAGCGTATCCGTGAGCCAGTCGCTGAGGTGAGGGCGTTAGGCCGGCGGCCGTCCCTGCCGCGCTAAAGGGGGCCGCCGCCCATGCTTCTTTGTACTGGCGTGGGCTGCCGTAGCACGGATGGGGTGTGTCAGAGTGGGTGTAGAAATAAATAATTTCGCATAATTTGCGTTTGTTCACATCGAGCCTGGTGGACAAGCTTGTCCAGCGGCCGGTCCCTGTACGGCTGGCAACGAGATCATCGGAGGTGCGCCAGCCTCCCTGACCAACGGGCTGCTGGGGTGGCAGCCGGTCGCGTGGCATGACTCTGAAGCGCGCCACTAAAGCATGAAGGTATGCGGGGTCGCAGCCCTGGACCCTAAAGCAGACCGGTCGTCGTGGCCGGTCCAGTGATGGGACGCCGACCAGTAACATTGGGTCGCACGTGACGGTGCGAGACCGGCCATCGGTTCACCGGCCCGTGACGTGACGCCGTCGCGATCGCGACCGGCGGCGCGGCGCTGACCGGCGTGACATTGACCGTCGATTCCGACGCCAATGGCGCGGCATTGTCCACCGAGCAGCCATGGCGACATGGCCCGTACACTCAGGGAGGCGCGCGCGCGCGCGCACGCCGGTCGATCGATGCCCCGTCCAGGCGTGCCAGGCCGGCCTAGAGCGCGGCGGCCGGTGGGCGTAGGCGGTCGGATCGCGCACCCGCAGTCCCGCCCTGCGCGTCGCTGTGGACGACCTGTCGGCTGGTGTCGCCGGACAGCTAGCTCGCGCCTCCGGACGGCTAGCTCGCGTCGCCGGTCGGCGAGCTCGCGCCGCCGGACGGAGCGCACGAGCCGCCGGACAGGGTGCTCGCGCCGCCGGACAGAGCGCACGTGCCGCCGGGCCGTGTGCGCCCGGGCGGGGAGCCGCCGGCCGCCACCATGGGCTGCGGGCAGAGCTCCGCGTCGTCGCCGGTGGTGGGCGACGTCAACGGCGGCGTCTCTGAGGACGACACGTCCAAGAAGGTGGGTCTGCCGCGCCGGCACCGCCCCCAGACGCTGAGGCTTCATCACCCGATGCAGTATGCCGCACCGCGTTTTGTTTGTGGCCATTTTTGCTTGCCGCCACCCAGAGATCGCTTCGTTTGGCCCACCGTGGAGTGTCGTCCCGGTGCTGCCCCTGCCCTGTAGCCCTCGGCCGGCCGCCTCCGCCTGCGGGGCTTGCGGCCGCTGCATGCGCCGGCGCCCGCGCGTTTGCTCACTGTGCCGGGCCGCTGCGTGTGTGACTGGCACCGGCCGGCGCGCCCCGCAGGTGTACGACGACCGCATCACGCTGCCAAACAAGCAGAAGTTCCGCATCACCGTCTCACCGGCCAGCACTGTGGTGGAGGACGACGGAGCCGGCGGCCGACCGCGGGTAACTGGGGCAGCCCCGGCTGGGGACGGGCGGCTGGGGGCGACTCCAGTTGAGGGCGGAAGAACGGCTTGGGGCGGCCCCCTAGCTGGGGACTGAAGGGCATCTTGTGGCGACTCCAGCCGAGGACGGAAGGAGCGCTGGGGGCAGTTCCACCTGGGGACGGAAGGGCGGTCGGGGCGGCTCCAGCTGGGGACGGAAGGGCGGCTGGGGACAGCTCCAGCTGGGGACGGAAGGGCGGCTGGTACCGATCACACCGAATAGAACTGGGAACGGCAGGACACCTGGCTGGTCAAAGTTGGATACGGTGCTCGTCGTGTGCCGGACTAAAGTGTGAATGGGGACGGAATCGCAACTGGTGAAGAGGATGGCTGGGTTCGGCGGAGTAATGGGGACCAGCAGGCTGCTATGGCTCCTTTACTGGTTGCGCTCACGAGAATGTCAGCCGACGGGCAGTACGGTGAACTCTGCTGAGTTATCCCATCATTCTGCCTCCGACGGTAATCGCATTTCACGTCATGACTAGCGTCACATGACGTCATGACATGACTACCCGTACAGGTAGATTTGTATTCAGGAGCTTCCACAAAGTGGATTTCCTAGCTTGCATGTCGATGTACATACAGTAGTTACAGAAGATAAAGCAGACAACGCAGATGAAGGCGGCACACTACACGACAACACGTGCTCGTCCATTTGACAAATAGGAGGTCGGAATGGTCCTAAATGTCGCCTGGCTCGCGACCGCTGACACCTGCGGGTCTGCGAACCACAAGCTCCATTCACTAGATGCCCAAAACATGAACAAGCTGCGCTCAAACTTAGTGCGAACACGCGGCAGCTGCAGCCGCTTGACGGCAGCTGCTTGAGGGGAGGGGGCATGAGCGTGTGACATATATATATATATATATATATATATATATATATATATATATATATATATATATACATATATATGGATTATATCACGCTCACTACATAGAACATCATCACATCAAGGGAAATGCTTCACTAGTTTTGCTCAATTAGAGCGGTTTCAGCTAGTTGCGAACACTGTTCAAAACGTATTTACCCACAGCGCTTTGTATGACAATCGTTACCCGTTTGGTTCGTGTTGGTGTTGTCACTTTGGACTCAGATGGATCATGGCCATCCGCTTGGCAGGTTGCATGTGTCATGATTTGTCCATCTCGTGGCGTTTGAAGCAACAGCGTCGTGTAGGGGTCACTCCCCATCGTACTACAGTTGGATTGGGTTTGCCGTGCGTGTATGCGCACTCCCACACGTGAAAGTATTAGCACTGTCTTCACGGCCCGCTGCTTAACACCACAGCCATTTGGTCCGCACTGGAGGAGTGGCAGGATTCTATACAACGACAAGTCACAGTTCCACATTACAGAGTTTTGAATAAGCGTCCTGGAGTCCAGATTGCTGTAATGCCTGTGGCAGCGAAGTTACGAAGCGCTCAGAAGCCCGCCATCGGCGTGGCCGCTGGAGAGCAGAGCGCCGTTTGTGTACTAAGGTGTGCCGCGCCGCGAGCATGCGGTCGCGCAGTCGTCACCCCTGGCAGTACGACCCGTCACTGCCGGCACATGGCCGGCGGCACCCATAGACGACAAAAGTCAACGGTAGGGGGCCAGGCCGAAGCAGAAATCAACGGTAACGGGCCAAGCTGAAGCAGAAATCAACGGTAGGGAGCCAAGCTGAAGCAGAAGTCAACGGTAGGGGGCCAGGCCGAAGCAGAAATCAACGGTAAGGGGCCAAGCTGAAGCAAAAATCAACGGTAGGGAGCCAGGCTGAAACAGAAATCAACGGTAGGGAGCCAGGCTGAAGCAGACCAGGCCGGCTCAGAGACTTCTGTGGTATCAAAATCACCAAACGCCTGGAGACATCGCGTCACCTGCTATGTATCACAGCGGGTAACTACTGAGTGAGAGCTCCCGGTGAACAACGCCCGCTTCAAGCAAACGACGGCAGATGATCGACGCAGGGGTAGATGCGCACCCAGCTCGTCGCAACCCTGTGCGCTCACATCTACCAATCCAACAAACGTCCTTCGCAACGACGCAAGCCCTGCCGCCAAATAACTACTGTCAAACTCAATACGTTATCCAGGCGTGCCAGCACACAGAAGGCGAACGTTTGACAGGTTAACAGGGGTTACCCTGAAGGTAAGCAGACTCTCCACAGAATGACTCGCACATGGTCAGTTAACATGCCAAGCTCAAAGAAATAACTAAAAGCCAGACTCTGCGTGCCATTCAACAAACAGGTACGATGCGTACAGTATACTGCATAGTAACATATACGCAGGCAAGTGTTGGGCGACGCCGACAGCCCATTGTCGTACGGTATGGGGCGTTCTGTCGCTCGGACCAGCAGTTCTTCACTTGAGGGAGCTCCAGGGAATATTGGAACACTCCCTGTAGACCTATCGTCGGAGACCCAATAAACCGAAAAAAATGGAATGGTGTACGCGTCAGGGAGACAACTCTGCCAACAAAAGCAGCTGGCGCACTGGCCGCTGGAGGTACGCATCATATCTGGCAGGCGCCATCACCAGCATGCATGGAACGCTCGATGCACGCAGCGAATGCTTGCTGAGCCCTTTCACAGATAGAAGAGAAGGCGCCCATGCGTACGCACATACCTCGTACACTCTACTGTGTTTCTTATTCGCGATGCGCTCCTCCTGTGTGTGGTTTGTTTCCTTGTACTGCAAATATGTATAACATGGCAAATAGCCTGGCTGTGTCTCTGGCTCGTTCAACCACATCTACAGGCAGTTGCTTTCGCCCCTCTCGCCCCCCCCCCCCCCCCGCTCTGGCTCAACCTGTCGCTTGCCCAAACCAAATGAGCCCTGGCGCAGGTGCATACCGGTAAGGTCATGACGCCAACGTATAGGCTGCCGCTCCGATGTGTCACCGTGATGAATGTGCCGACTTTGCGGCGGCGGCCGTCGTGGTGCCCAGCCGCGCCGGTGACGCGGACCACATCGATCTGGCTGCCGCGGCCGACATTGACGCCGCATCAACACTCGCGCTCTGACGCAGCGGCCGCCCCGGCAACCACTGCATTAATTAGATAACCTCCGCCGTTTCAAAACACATGGCGAGGGGAAGTCCTGGCGGGCTGTGGTAAAAGTGATAACAAGGTTGTATTTTTGTGGCATTTGCCGCATTTCCGTTTGTAGCCTCTGCCTAATCATTTGATCTCACGTCGTACGGGGCTAACGGGCGGTTTTCAAGACTGCTTTCCCTGTATTTTCCGTCGAGGTGCGGCGTTGTCTGACGCAGCCCTGACGTCACGTGGCGCACTTGCAGGTGCAGTGCCAGGATAGCTGTCAGCAGCGGCCGAAGACGGGCGAGGAGGGCGAGTACGAGCAGCCCGAGGCGGAGTTCGACGGTGGCACCCTGGGCCTCAACGTAAGGCGGCCCGGGTGGGACGCGCCCGACCATGTTATGCCTTTGTGTGCGCTTTGCCGGCACCGCTGCTACCGTGCCAGACAGATAGCTGGTAATAGAGGCAAGTTGCCTTGCTTAGACAGTCTGGTGCGTAGTATTTTCAGAGCGTTCAGATCTGTTTTCTATTTTTCGTGATGTACCTTTGTCTTCCCTGGACATCGTGTGCATGTGCTCAGCGTCCTTCGGAACGTTCTGAGCAGGCGATAAAACGGCCTGCATGCCGGGACAGGCCAAAAGCGTACACATGTGGTCGGCGCTTCAGAATGTCGGGGACGTGCCGAGGCTGCTGGACTCCCTGTCCGACGGAGATCTGTTCGAGGACTCGGAGTTCCCTCCGAGTGACACCAGCCTGTACTTCAGCGGGCGAACCAGCGAGAACGTCTCCTGGAAGCGACCGTTTGTGAGTATGACCCGGCACAGCAGCCATGACCTGGAGCATTCGACGCATTCGTCGGACCGCCGGCGCCGTGGCACAGTCGGAGAGGGGGAGGGGCACCGTCACCGATGAACACAAGGTGTCAGAGCAGGGGCGGGACGGGCTACGACCCACTCACCTTTCCTTAACACGCGCCCGGGTAGCGGGTTGGATATCTTTCGCTCGGGTGGGGGCCAATTTGACCCCCTGAGATTTCAGGAACTAAGAGAGCTGGAGACACCAGATTCACAGGGTGCGTTGAGCTGTACGTGGACTCATTTAGGTCAAAGGTTAAGATTCCTAGATGATGACCTTTGGATCAAATAAGGTCAAACGAGGTCAAATTCCAGGCTGGTCTTCAAAAGGCCCTCGAGTTTCGATAACTGCTCTAGGCAAAAGGTCGCAGGCTCATTTTAGGTCAGAGACCTTTTTGACCTTTTGAAGCTCATGGTGCCGAAAATCATACCAGACTTCTTTGAGTTTTGCATTTGAACAGGCGTCAAAAGTTACGCTAGGCAGTATGTTCCTAAAAAAAAGTTTTTGACCTGGGTCTTTTTAGGTCAGTGATCTATTTTGACCCATAAAAGGTCGATGGAAGCTGAATAATGCGGTTCCTGTTATTGGTGAATTGGAAACGGGCGCCAGCAACTATCTCATACAGAAGGCCCTGGACTAATAAAATAGGTTGGCTTTTACCTTGGTCTGACCTTCATACTCGACCTTAAGTCAATGCAATTTGTTCATTCAATTGTTGTGTTGCCCAAGAAAGTATATCAGGTCTAACGCTCCGTTGTTGGATCAGATTGAACGTTTCCCTAGAAATTGCTTCCCCTGAAAGCCTGGCCTAAATTTGACCTACCATAGGTCGGCGACCTTACACATTTAAATTTTCATGTCAGACGATTTCCTATTTAATTGTCTACACCTATGCAAAATATGGCGCGGCTACGCCACGCCATCCGGAAACCATTACGCAAAAACTTTGGGGCCAATTTGACCCCCACCTGAGCGCGTGTTAACACGAAGCGTAATATCTACGTTAATGCATGGCAAGAGTTAAGTTAGCTGAGTTCAGAAAAGTAGTTCTTATGCCGTCCATAATTTACGATATCGAGCGTGGTGTTCTGGTACTTAATCATATCGATAATCATGTGGCGGGTGCACATCAAAACAATAATGACGATAAGTGTAACCAAGCAAAAAGAAACGCCATCGGTGACAACATGAACCAAAATACGAAATGCGCTACAGGCGTAGGTCAACAATGATATCTTGAAAATGAGCTCGATTTTTCTTAATGTTGCATTATCCAGCATGGTCGTCATCATAGAGCGAGAATTGAATGAATGGAATGTTGGCCGACATTCGTTTGCTGTGACTTTAACCTGATTGGAACTGACCTGATTGGATTTAACCGAAGATTTGATCGTCCGATTTGCTATCTGAGTTCAGTAAAATAATTGAGAAGCTCTAGTTGCATTCCCTAAAACTGGGTGAAAACGTTCATGTTATGCACTTAAGGGGTGTTTTTGTAGCTGTATAGTATAACTGATCCAGACCATCTGCCGGATGGAGGAGCCTTATCGTGCAGGAAACGATTGTCCTCCATTGGTCTCCTGCATGATAGGATTGACCGCTTAACATGAGAACCCAGATTACCAGCAGGATGGTGTAGCTATATGATCGAGCACATTACATTTTTCGAGTTATTGGACAAAGCGGAACTGTGTCTTATCATTCGAAGTAGTTAAAGCTGGAGAACATAAAACGATTTATTGTGCAACTGTCGTGTGTGAAAACTGTGTGCAAACAACTAAATGTGTGCAAACACAACATGAAGACAACAACTTCAGAAAAGCGATAAACAATAGGATGAGTTCGATGAATTGCAAATTGATGTCAATAAGCAACAAGCAGCACGGTGGAATCACAAAGGAAACTTTGAAAAAGCAGTGTCAGATGTCCGGCAGTCCGATATCTGAGAGGTTGTGGTTACAGTATCCATATTTTTGTTTCAGAAGCATGAGCCGCGTCTAGCGACTTGTGTCCATATTTCGGGCACACGGTTCTTTTTTATTGGGAATAAATGTCCGATCATGCCCTGATAATGGTTTGTTTATACTGATTCTAAAACAAAATCAAATGCGTAAGTTGTTAAGTGTATTTGCGGGGGAACATTATGCACATAGATGCTGAATACTTCCCTCCATTACTGTCTCTAAATGCTGTTTGTGCTGAGCCACGAAATACGTCAGTGTTTTTTGAAACTAGATCATCCTGCTCTTTTAACTTAGTCCGAACAGTTTGAAGAGATATTGATGTTTGAGACTTCCGTTTCGCGCAGTGCGACGGCAAACTTTGCCTGCACCTGTCCGGGAGAACCTTGTACGCGTCATCCAATGCTTTGACACGTTATCGGCGTATAATCGTGGAGACCCTTCATCTCCTGTCAACTGGCATTTGCCAGGTCAAGCAGCCAGACGCCTCCGGATTCAAATCCAGAGTGTACCAGATGCGTGGGTCGGCTATCCGAACTGCTCGGGCATGGCTGTGTACACCGGCATAGACACACATCCATGAGGGATATGTATGTACCCTAAAGCTTGAGCAACGAATCGTGAGATTGGAGCCACTGAGAACCATACGAGCCAACCATATGAGAACCATACGGTCGACGTCTGAGGAATTAGTGCGATTAGTTTTAGCCTATCAGGCGAGATATCAATAAATTGCCATGATCGAATTGAATCGAAGATCAAACATGAAGCGGTCATACAAAATTCCTCATGCTAGGTTCAGTCAGCCTTTCGTTCGGGCGTTTCATGAGATACCTTAACATTATCTGTACTCGTCAGGATAATACGGAAATATCAAGCCGGTTGCGCTGAAGACGGGGAAAGTGAATGCTCGTTGGACAAATTCATGCCTGAGACAGGCAGTACCAGAAGTTTTATATTACGCCTTGGTGTGATGGTGGGGCATAACATGCGGTAATTAGTACTGTAGCAGGCGTCCCACCTGCTCCGCATGCCATTAAGCAGAGGTGCCGGTCCACAAACACGTGACCGAGCACTCTAATGATCAAGTCACAGTCTGTGATGAGGGCGACGCCCGCCGTCGACCGGCAGCGGCCGGGCCAGGGGGGAGGCCGCCGCCGACTAGTAGCAGCCGGGCCAGGGCGGAGGCCGCCCCCGACTAGTAGCAGCCGGGCCAGGGCGGAGGCCGCCGCCGCCGACCGGTAGCAGCCGGGCCAGGGCGGAGGCCACCGCCGCCGACTGTAGCAGCCGGGCCAGGGCGGAGGCCGCCGCCGACTAGTAGCAGCCGGGCCAGGGCGGAGGCCGCCGCCGCCGACCGGCAGCAGCCGGGCCAGGCGGACGCCGCCGCCGCCGACTGGTAGCAGCCGGGCCAGGGCGGAGGCCGCCGCCGCCGACTGGCAGCAGCCGGGCCAGGGCGGAGGCCGTCGCCGACTAGTAGCAGCCGGGCCAGGGCGGAGGCCGCCGCCGCCGACTGGTAGCAGCCGGGCCAGGGCGGAGGCCGCCGCCGCCGACCGGTAGCAGCCGGACCAGGGCGGAGGCCGCCGCCGCCGACTGGCAGCAGCCGGGCCAGGGCGGAGGCCGTCGCCGACTAGTAGCAGCCGGGCCAGGGCGGAGGCCGCCGCCGCCGACCGGCAGCGGCCGGGCCAGGGCGGAGGCCGCCGCCGCCGACCGGTAGCAGCCGGGCCAGGGCGGAGGCCACCGCCCTGATCGTCGCCCTGATCAGGACCGCCGTCAGTGCCACCGGCCGGAACCATCAGGAGTTTGCAAACATCAGGCAGTCAACCACTCAGCACAGAGCAGAGGTGATGGCTGCGCGCCGGCTGCAGAGGGGGCCACTCAAGTGATATACCCCATGGGAGGGATAAGGATAGTAGTCATCTCCGGCAGTTCCGGAATTGCGGCTCTGAATACGGGTGTGCCCAGTCACACTCCGTAAAGGCCGCGCCATAAACCCTTCCCAACGGAGGCAGCAGCAGCCGCCGCGGGCGCCAACATAAGTTGGCGACAGTCTAAACAATGGACAACATTCTGACAGCACTATCGCGGCCATGGGTCTAGGCCGGCTCGAGTGGCTGAAAAATGACTGAAATTATTGTGGTCTGATGGTGGCTGAATGACTCGAATGATTGAAAAATTATGTGCGGCTGCTCAGCTTTGACCCCAGCAAAAAACAAAAACCGGTACAGCCTAGTCCCCCAGGGATCCCTAACCTATCCCATGTATTTTAGCGAAACCTTATACAAAACTTTCACAAGAGTTGCCTCATCGCAGCGGTGGGACCGATCCCCAACGGGAATATCCCACACGTTGACACGCCGTGCAATCACTGCAACTAAACCGGCAGCCAATGCAGCCTGACCCACAGCTATGGCTATAGATGGCATAGCATAGTACCCATATCTCGCCATAAGGTTTAAGGTCTACAAAAGATTTACCACCAACAACGGGGCCCACACGAAACGAAAACCATGCTTGTTGCATTTTTAAACCACTTTTTGTTGCTGCTAGCCATAAATCACGAATGAACCCCGGTCGATGGTCGACCAGACAGTTGCCGCTGGCCAGCTGCACCTGTCGGAAAAATTCCAAACTATTATTCTCTGTCTTCTACCGCCCGGACACCTCTGTTGAAGCAACATTACAAATGAGATGGCAAACGAGCATTGTTTTTTTATACCAAACGGATTCTATTGATTCGTTGCTAGCGTCCAAAGTTGCGTTTAATGTCTTCTTGAATTATTTTTAAGCGGTACTCGAAACCCCAAATCACGTTAGAATGGACACTTTTCCAAACGAGTCGTGCGTGGAAGTTATTTATAAGATTTCACACTTTTACGGGCAATGTTCGGAAGCAGCGCTGCAAAATGGAATCGATGACCAATCGGAAACCATAACTTGCAGCCAAAAGTCACTAACGGGCAGGCCTAATGTAGCAGCCTGAAGTCTTGATAAATCAAAGAAAGGAGGGACCGCCATTATGCATTACCTGAGTGGGTTTTCCCGTTGGGTAAATGTGATTGCGATGTCACGTAACAAAATTACTTTCACTGACGCGTCTGCTAGCCGACTTAGCTAATTCCTTCGTGCAGGCTCGCAGAGTACCATGGTGCATGACGCCGGTGTGAGGTGGACCCAGTCGATATGGCGACCTGGACCTGGGCGACCTTGCGGGGTCGCTGGAGCCTCACTCACTCTGTTGGTAGGGCCGCAGCAACGCGTCACATGTATCGACTGGATCCCACAACAGTCGGGAGTGTTGAGGATAGGCGATGGAATTGACTAGGGTCTGTTACAGGAGCTGTCGGGGCAGCTGTCACCGGATGGTTCGAGGTACTCAGGACCTAAATGACGCTGGACCGGCTGTCACAGGAGCTGTCGGGGCAGCTGTCACCGGATGGTCCGAGGTGCTCAGGACCTAAATGGCGCTGGACCGGCTGTCACAGGAGCTGTCGGGGCAGCTGTCACCGGATGGTCCGAGGTGCTCAGGACCTAAATGGCGCTGGACCGGCTGTCACAGGAGCTGTCGGGGCAGCTGTCACCGGATGGTCCGAGGTGCTCAGGACCTAAATGACCCTGGACCGGCTGTCACAGGAGCTGTCGGGGCAGCTGTCACCGGATGGTCCGAGGTGCTCAGGACCTAAATGGCGCTGGACCGGCTGTCACAGGAGCTGTCGGGGCAGCTGTCACCGGATGGTCCGAGGTGCTCAGGACCTAAATGACCCTGGACCGGCTGTCACAGGAGCTGTCGGAGCAGCCCCAGTTGTTCGTGGAGGGGATAAGCCGCCGAGACGTCGTTCAGGGCGTCCTCGGCGACTGCTGGTTCCTCTCTTCCTGCTGCGCCATCGCCAAGGAGCCCAAGCTGATAGAGCGGGTTAGTGGACGGGTACCACAGCAGCCTTTAACCGCCCTGCAGTCGTGGTAGTTTGGTTTTACTGCGCTCGCCGTGATTAGAAAAGACGCACTGCTGAGTGATGAGCCGCTTGAACTTTTTAAAAAATCCGTCGTCTGTGCTTTTGACAGTGATTGGGATGTTACGGCACACAGAAGCTTCTTATGTGCACCCGACAAATTGTGTGTGCTGCTATTTGGTCGGGTTTTATCTTTTTGATCCAGTTTTTCCTCAAAGCTTCTCAATTAGGTGGTTTGAGCCCCATCCTAGGCCCAAAAACATACGCAAAAAGTAAAATATAAGCGCCCCTGTCGCTGCTACCTGTTCTTCAGCACCGCAATCAAAGCGAGGCATCACCTTGTTTTCTCGTAAAGCTGTCTTTCTTTGTGGGTGTTTTTGTCATACTAGTGGTACAGTACAGAGATGGGTTTTGGTACAGTTGGGGGCGAAATCCTTGTACCCTATTACTACCCCCATCCCAGTTTGTAACCAGCCGCGTAGATTTAACATCAGGATAGATTATTTTGTCTTTCATTGTGCTTTTAGTTGCTTTCCGTAAATCCAAATCACACAACCGGTTTGAACATCCCCCGCACTTCATAAACCAAAGGTATGCTTATGAGGCCAGCGCCAACCAGGAACCCCGTCTCCTTTGCCATCTTATTCCAAGCACCCTCCGGTTATGTCGGCTAACGTCACTAATGACTGACCTTTTTGAGGAAATGCTTTTGGGCAATCCCTCGCCCACCCCTCATCTGGATAGTGAAATTGCCGCTCTAAACGGCGCTTGGCCTCTGCTAAACCATTCCAAGTGAATGCGATGCCCATTTAGTTATTAACCAGGCTGCTATTGTCATTGGGCCGGCAACGTATACTTGTGGCAGTCGATATTAATGCCCACAGCGCATGCACCCGTTGGATGAAGTTCGACTCCAACAAGCAAAGGAACGCTGCGCTGCAATTGAAATGGTGCTACGAAAAGGGGCTTCTGGTTTTTAGTAGTTTAATTACTCCATGTAACGTCAGTAAACGCCCAATCAGTTTCTTGATAAAGAGATGCACTGAATCGGCTGAAAATGGGCACAAAGACGTCAGGAGCACGCCTTCGCTGCGGGAAATAAATGCTATCGCGACTGCAGAGGTTTCGGTGGCTGATAACGACGACGCCGTCGCACGGCCGACATCCCGAGCTGCAGGAACCTGGTCACGTCCGCGGGCCTCTCTAGCAGCGCGGCACAGGTGGCTCGAGCCACCTGATCACGTCTGCGGGCCTCTCTAGCAGCGCGGCACAGGTGGCTCGAGCCACCTGTTCACGTCTGCGAACGTCTCTAGCAGCGCGACACAGGTGGCTCGAGCCACCTGATCACGTCCGCGGGCCTCTCTAACAGCGCGGCACAGGTGGCTCGAGCCACCTGTTCACGTCCGCGGGCCTCTCTAGCAGCGCGACACAGGTGGCTCGAGCCACCTGATCACGCCTGCGGGCCTCTCTAACAGCGCGGCACAGGTGGCTCGAGCCGCCTGTTCACGTCCGTGAACGTCTCTAGCAGCGCGACACAGGTGGCTCGAGCCACCTGATCACGTCTGCGGGCCTCTCTAACAGCGCGGCACAGGTGGCTCGAGCCGCCTGTTCACGTCCGCGAACGTCTCTAACAGCGCGACACAGGTGGCTCGAGCCACCTGATCACGTCCGCGGGCCTCTCTAACAGCGCGGCACAGGTGGCTCGAGCCACCTGTTCACGTCCGCGGGCCTCTCTAGCAGCGCGACACAGGTGGCTCGAGCCACCTGATCACGCCTGCGGGCCTCTCTAACAGCGCGGTACAGGTGGCTCGAGCCGCCTGTTCACGTCCGCGAACGTCTCTAGCAGCGCGACACAGGTGGCTCGAGCCACCTGATCACGTCCGCGGGCCTCTCTAACAGCGCGGCACAGGTGGCTCGAGCCACCTGTTCACGTCTGCGGGCCTCTCTAACAGCGCGGCACAGGTGGCTCGAGCCGCCTGATCACGTCCGCGAACGTCTCTAGCAGCGCGACACAGGTGGCTCGAGCCGCCTGATCACGTCCGCGAACGTCTCTAACAGCGCGACACAGGTGGCTCGAGCCGCCTGTTCACGTCTGCGGGCCTCTCTAGCAGCGTGACGCAGGTGGTTCGCTACAGCGCAAACGATGCCTTACCTAACACGCATTGATATGAGCTGTGTTCACACTGTGATAAAGCGCGTACCAACCTTTGTCACCACTGCGCAAACTTCTGTATAGCCCTGGCCCTTCACCCTGGTCGAACGCAACTTGGATGTGCCGCCCACCGTTCACTTCACATGTGGCTGTGAGGCAGGTGGTGCCTCCGGACCAGCCGCTGGCCGGCGACGGCTACCGCGGCTGCGTCCGCTTCAGCTTCTGGCGCTTCGGCGACTGGGTGGACGTGTTCATTGATGACCGGCTGCCCACCAAGAACGGCACCCTCTTCAACGCCAAGTGTCTCGACCCCAACGAGTTCTGGGTGGCGCTGCTCGAGAAGGCATATGCCAAGTGAGGACGTCGATTGCTCTTAGCCGTTACTGAGCTCTCTTGCTGTGTAGATGTGTGTGAAAGGTAAGGCTGTATGCTTACAAAAAATATTCACCCCGTGGGTGTAAATTTATATTTAGTGTGCGGTGCTCCCCCCCCCCCCCCGAAAGTGGGTCCCAGCTCCATCTTTGGGAAGAAAGCGAGAGCCCAATCCGAGAAGAAACCCGTTTATTGGCGTATTTGGGAGTAGTTTTCCTCGTTTTCCGCTGTCAAGCACCCACACCCACATTTTGCGACACTGCGCTGCTGCTTCATCCTTTTGCAGACACCCAGAGCCCTTTTAAGGTTACAGGTGCTAGCTGAGTATCAAACTCCACATGTTTGGCCAGCTGTTGTTTCGCCCGAATCAGGGCTGCGCCACATCGTTCGCTCGATGCTGTGAATTGGTCGAAATTCATCTGCCCCCCCCCCCCCCCTTCAAGAGCAGGGAATAGTTAACACTACCAAACAACGCCGCGAGTTCTCCGCACACTGTAGAGCGAGCAGCACGCCACGCTGGATCAGCTCACCCATGGACCACAATGACGCATGTTGCGCATGCGTCAGTTGTACCCCTGATACGCCTTGAAGTGGGGCGGCGTGCGGACGCCTCTGCCTGATGAAGCCGCCTGACGGGCGACGTTGCGAGCCGCCGGATGTTGCACGATCCGCCCTGCCGACCCCAACGAGAGCAGCACCAAGACGGGGCGGGCCCAGCCGGACGGCACCGCACATACGGCTAATGAGCAGCACCAAGACGGGCCGGGCCCAGCCGGACGCAGTCGGCCTGAGTCGTCACAGCTAATGATGGCCTTAGGTGGGGGGGGGGGGGGGGGGACACTTCCGGCCATTGGTAATGGGCTGCCTTGCCCGCAAAGGCGCGGCGGAGGCGCACCGATTCGGCACGGGTGCAGGTGGTCGCTCACTGCCGAGAAGTATTTCCTTCGGAAGTGATCTTTATGTTTGTGAACCTAACGTGCCAGTGCGACGCATCGAGCTTAACTTATTTTACTTGGAATGACACATCAAAACCTGTATGGGTTTGGAATTGCACAGAATCCCTGGAATTACACCTTTGAGAAAACATCTCTCAGATTTTGAGTAGCATCGTTCAATGTGTTTCGTCAGCGTTGTGAGGCGGAGGCGCTTGGTTACTGGCGTATAACTACTCCATCCTATTTACACCTAGAATCGCTTACCTTTGGCAGCATCATGTTCATAGCCGATTGCCGCAGCATGCATTTATTATTATTATATAATCTATCCGTATTATCTATCAGAAAAAAATAGTCTGAACGCTTTAAAACACGTGGTCAGACGTAGACGAGACAACTCTCGATCGACGAAGGCCGCATAAGACGGAGCAAGCATTCAAATAAGCGCACTCAGTCGCCTGGAAACCGCACAAAATGTTTCCGTGCAGGACAGTTGCTATTGGAACTCCCTGCCGTGGAGTTCTCGTACGGCACTTGATATACCTGAGCGTATTTAAACGGCAAAAAATATATAATGTAAAAATGCCTCTACCACACCAAAACTTGGACGAACCCAGGCTCCATTAACTAAAATGCGAACGTGTGTAGGCTCGCCCACTGGCAAAAGCCTTCAGTCTAACAGCGTGTAACAGCGTGCTGCGTTCGCACCACATCCGCCCACTAAGTATGCTTCTACCATGTCCATTGCTTCCAGTCACCACGCGCGCATTGACTCAGTGACAGGACGGCCGTTGCCTTGGACGCGAGCACAGTCCACCACAAGCAAACAGCAAAAAGAATCGCTCTACTGCCGGCCCATCAGCTGGTGCGCGTGGCGTGTTCTACTGGCGTGCGTTGGTACCGGCAGGCTGCACGGCTCGTACGAGGCCCTGGAGGGCGGCCAGGCCATGGACGCGCTGGTCGACCTGACCGGCGGCCTGGCCGAACGGTTCGACCTGGTCGAACACGACCAGAAGTACCTGTTCCGTCACCTCTACAAGTCCACCCTGGCCGGGGCATTCATCACCTGCTCCAGAAAGGTGCGTGCGGCCCCACGACGCCGCTCTTCCGCGCAGGCCAGGTGCGGCCTCGCTCGAAGCCTAAACGGAGTGTTGTGCGCTGTATGATTATCCGGAGTTGCATTGCTTTCAGTGTCTCGACGTATCACCTGTGTCTGGCGAGTCGCATTCAGTGAATGCACGCCACACACCTTGAAAGGCCAGCAGCGGGGTTAGAGACGATCAGCGCGAAGTGCCGCTGCTGGGGCTGAGAGGAGCCCACAGTGCCTCCTCCGGGGCTGAGACAGTGCCGCCGCTGGGGTTGAGGGGAGTCCGCAGTGCCGCCTCTGGGGCTGAGAAGAGCTTGCAGTGCCACCGCTGTGGCTGAGAGGAGCCCACAATGCCGCCGCCGGGGCTGAGAGGAGCCCACAGTGCCGCCGCTGGGGTTGAGGGGAGTCCGCAGTGCCGCTGCTGGGGCTGAGAAGAGCTTGCAGTGCCACCGCTGTGGCTGAGAAGAGCCCACAGTACCACCGCTAGGGATGAGGGGAGCCCGCAGCGTCGCCGCTGGGGCTGAGAGAAGCCCACAGTGCCGCCGCCGTGGCTGAGAGGAGCCCACAATGCCGCCGCTGGGGTTGAGGGGAGTCCGCAGTGCCGCTGCTGGGGCTGAGAAGAGCTTGCAGTGCCACCGCTGTGGCTGAGAGGAGCCCACAGTACCGCCGCTAAGGTTGAGGGGAGCCCGCAGTGTCGCCGCTGGGGCTGAGAGAAGCCCACAGTGCCGCCGCCGGGCTGAGAGGAGCCCACAGTGCCGCCGCTAAGGTTGAGGGGAGCCCGCAGTGTCGCCGCTGGGGCTGAGAGAAGCCCACAGTGCCGCCGCCGGGCTGAGAGGAGCCCACAGTGCCGCCGCTGGGGTTGAGGGGAGTCCGCAGTGTCGTTGCTGGGGCTGAGGGGAGCCCGCAGTGCCGTTGCTGAGGCTGAGGGGAGCCCGCAGAGCCGTTGCTGAGGCTGATAATAATGTGCCACGGCCGACAGACCGCGCCACAAGCAGCGGCTAACAGCTGTGGGCGGTTGGTGCTGCCGCAGGGCGACTGGCGGCAGGCGAACAAAGCCGACGAGCTGGGACTGGTGCAGGGCCACGCCTACACGGTGACGGCGCTCGGACGGCCCGTGCACCAGCAGCTGGGGCGGCCGAGGCTGGTGCGCATCCGTAACCCCTGGGCGGATGCCGTCGAGTGGAACGGCGCTTGGTCAGACAGGTGGGTAGAGCGACGCTGGACCTGGAGACCCATGGTCAGACGGTAGGTACAGCGGCGCTGAACCTGGAGATCCATGGTCAGACGGTGGGTAGACCGGCGCTGGAACTGGATACTCATGGTCTCGTGAGTGGAGCGTCGCTGGGACTGGGAACCCATGGTCGGGCAGATGGGTCTAGCTGCGACACCACGGATCTACACATGTTATATGGTGCTAAACGGTACCACCCGGCTGATGGTGCAGCATGTCACCTCACGCTACCACACGATGCCATACGTACACGGTACCACCACATGCTGTCATATCCAGACCATGACGCGCCGGACATATTGCTTTCGAGAACTGCAGATTGATACATGTTGGTGTATTGCCGTTACATCTAGATAAACAATAGCATCTAGAGAAACGTATACAGCAACGAGCTCTTGAAAATGCCGTGCTTCGGCATTTAGCAGCACCCATGTTTCTTATCTTTGCTTGTTGCAACCTGGCAAGTCTTTAAAACTCGGTCATCTTCCATTCTGGCACGAGGCCTGCTCACAGCCAAAATCAGGAAGCATTACCTGTCGTAGGGCTCCTATTCCTTCTTCAAAAAAGGCACCGCGGCCGCGCGTCGCCGCACACTGCTGTATGGAGCGTCCTCGACTGAGGGGCCGCTCAAGCACCCAGAGGTCTTTACACCATCCGGGGACCGAACCCAGCCTGCGCACGTGGAAGGTGAGAACGATCTGAACGGAGCTCTTTCAGCCCCCTTCCATAGAGTTTCCTTTGCTGTTGACGTTACGCTAAATCGTCGAAACAGATTTGAGAACGTTCTTTGTAACCATCATCATCCAAAGCGAAGGTTGTAAACACGTGGCTCAGCAAACATGCCATAACGACTTGAACTTTTTTGGAGCGGGGTAGAAATGCTGCAGTTTCATTGCTGCAGAAACGCAGCTTTAAATCAGTTTAGTGCATCATCATCGGTCACTGCTAGCTTTCATGAAAAGTTGGAGGGCTACGGCCCCTCCCGCGCTTGTACGCCCGCGAATGTTTTCGCACCAGATAGTGCAGGGCCTGTGTTCTGCACCAGTCCCGGAGACGGGCTTTTGCATACAACGCATGCATGTAATCAATCTCTGTCGGCTGGTTATCATGGAAACTAAGGCGTGTAAACTAGCCCAACCCGGCAGCCCTTGTGCAGGAGGTTTTTCGAGCCACATGAAAAGCATGCATAGAACATTACTCCTCACCCGAAAACCCGGTAAGTGGGTAGCGTAAACGTTCTTGCCTCCTATTATCATCTTGCACCAGCTCAGCAATTTAGAAATTGGCGTTCTCCTGGTATCCTGCATTCAAAGGTGAACAACGGAGAGGCTTTCCCACTTTTGATTCGCTGTTTGCGGAGGAGAACCTCGCTTGTTTCCCCTTTGATTGTCTGGTGTGATCTTGACCTCGAGCTGTTTCGGAATTCTGAGAAGAAAACAAAGTTGAACGCTTTGCTTTGGCGGCATGGGGCTCAGGGCGTCATTCGGTGCAGCTTTACTGGTAATTGGGGATGTAGCTGCAATCTTAACATCTCAGAAGATGAACGTTTGTTCCATCGCGTTGCATAGAGGTGTGGGATTAAAAAACTGCATTTCCATCCAGCATGCCTTTTAGATACTCTCGTTTAAGAGCAACTGCACGCTTCATGTGCAGGAGATCGGCACTGGGGTGGTCATTGTTGCACTGAATTGGTAACTGTCTCGCGGGAGAGCTGTGTTCGATTTTCGCGACCGTCAGCTGGTCCCCGCTTATTTTTGCCTTCAGGGGCGGCGCAGCTGGGTGGGAAGGGAGGGGTAATACACGTTTTCCCCATACAACATTTCGGGAGGTCTCTCCTGCCAAGCAGATGGTCATGTGGATCACCGAAATTCCTATCGAGGAGGCTCTCCTGGCTGAGCTAGAGGGTGCAAAATCAGACTTAAAAGACTTTTCTGTATTAAGTGGCCGTTTTATGGATCATGAGATCGCCGATATGAGCTGGATAGCCCATTGGCTAGATCAGGAGGTAAAATTTGGTATTAAGGAGGCTCTTAACCGGCTTGGGAGATAACCGCTATGAACTAGGATGCCAATAATGAAAAAGAAGGCCCATGATGAACTAGGAGGTCCAGTTATTGACTAGGAGGCTACGTTATGAACAAGGAGACCTCTGTTTTGAGCTAGGAAGTCACCATTATAAAGTAGGAGACCCCGTTTGGAGTTAGGGGGTCCCGTTTTGAGCTAGGATACGCCCATTATGAGCTAGGAGGTCCTCTTTGTAGCTGAGGGGCCCCGTCATTAACTAGAAACCCCTTTTATGGACTAGGAGACCTCTATTGTGAATTAGAAGGGCTTGAGCTAGGAGGAGCTAGGAGCTAGGAGCTAGGAGGCCCCATTTTAAACTAGGGGGCACTCGTTTTGAACTAAGAAGCCCCCGTATGAACTATGTGGCCCTCGTGATGAGCTAGGAGGTCCCGCCATAAACTAGAAAGCCCCTTTTTAAAGTAGAAGGCACCTTTTATGAACAAGAAAGCCCTGCTATAAGCTCGGAGGCCCCCGTTTGAAATAGGAGACCTGCTTATGAGCCAAGTGTTGATTTCAACGTTTTTCCTCCATGATTGTTGCAGGTCTCAACATGAGGGAGGGTTCAATCCAATGTTCATGAAGCCTCTATATATTAAGCACAAGGGGTTTTCAGAACGAGGCCAGGGGGAGGGGGGCGGGCACATTCCAGGGATGCACGGGTAGCTAGTGCACCCTCCTGGCTGCGGGTCTGCGTATCAGATGGCCGCATTTCGGGATCAGAATTCCCTGTTTTAGGAAAACGGGGCTCTCTGCTGGATTTGGTGCTCTCTTCATGAATCGTAAGGATCCTATTCTGAATCACGAGGCTCTTCTATGCATCACAAAACCATTTTCTGGCACAGGAAGCCTTGTTTTGGGATTTGGAAGCCGTTTGCTGGATCAAGAAGACACACGTACCAATCAAAAGGCACTCGTTCTGGATGTCGATGGATGTTCTGTCGATATTAATTTACATCAATATTGATGCTTGTAAGAATTCGATAAGGGAGCACGTGCCTACGGGGTCCCTCCCCTGAATACATACAATACTGCCCAGGGGGTTCACCTGCGAAGATGCCCCATTCTGTCCAGGAAGTCAGTTGGAAAATTTTGCCCCTCAACCCAAAATCTGTGGCGCCGCCCCCGTTTGCCGTGGCGACTGAACCCACGCAGCCTTAGGCAGTGTCTTCAGCAATATGTTAAAGGGAATGTTTCACATTTGAAGATATTGTAACAAGCATCAGATTTGATGAAACAATTTAAATTATAACTATCGGTATATTTTATAAGTGGAAAAGACTGCTTTAGACCGCACAGTTTTCTGTTTAGTAAACACCCTGCTCAATCCGTCATGGTTTGATTATGTCATTCCACCTTACACTACATTTATTGAGAGCCAATTAACGGCCGTGGTAGTTGGAAATCGTGCCATGAACACCAGATATGAACATATAAGCAATTATATTTGTATTGCCTTGATACCGCATGGCTTATCGAACGACAGGATTTGAATGACGTTGTTATGACGTCATGAATGCCAAGATGACTTTAAATGGTCTCCCCGAAATACTCTCCCCATTCTTGCGGACGTGTAGCTAAGAAACAACGGGGATTTGGGTCTCAAGAAGGGCAGGGTTTTGAACAACACTGAAAGGTCTTCAATATGGCTCTTTCAGTTCAGCACCCCGCATAAATGCGAAACACTCCCGTTAAGTGAATAGAATGGTCAGGCGAATTTCAGAACCAGGCAATGTCAACTGGGTTGGTCGCATTCGTACCACATTCTGTGTCGCAGCATCCTTGCATCAGCTGGACGCGTTCACGTTCATGGGAGTGGACAGTGACGCCAATGAACATCGCTGCATCGCACAAAATCTGTTACTTTGGCGTTATTAATGAACACCGCCACTGGCTGTCATCCACAGGCGCGGGGGTATTCAGTGGTATGTGCGGTAGCCGCAATCGGCTCCATACGCAGAGATGATAACATCAGCACGGCTGCTCCCGCGGCAAGCTGGTCTTTGCTGACTTCCTACGAGGCTCGATCTTGGAATAGACTTCCAGAGTAGTGCGACGTGGGCTGAAAGGACCCGATAAAGTCAAGGTCACCCTGCCAAGAGAGTCAATGCAAAGGTCACCCTGCCAGCCGGCAGTGGTCACTCGGGCTCTCGCGAGCGGTCCTTGAAGACGACCGAGTGTCACACAAATCCTCTCCACGAAGCCAGTGGTCAGTCCGCACAGCGTCAGCGGACCGGCGTTGGTACCGGCACCAGCGCCGGTCTTCCGTACCGGGACCAGCTCACCGGCGATGATACCGGTACCAGCGCAGTTCTTCCGTTCTGGGAACAGTTCACTGGCGTTCATACTGGTACCAGCACCGTTCTTCCGTACTGGGGCCAGTTCACCGGCGATGATACCGGTACCAGCGCAGTTCTTCCGTACTGGGGCCAGTTCACCGGCGGCGCCGTCTGACGTGACATCGCCTCTCGGCGTCTGGCCAGAAGAGGACGCCGCCAGACAGTCAGGGCATGCAGCATCGCGACGAAATGTGCTCGGCGCCGTTGGCGATCGATTGTATTGGAGTTGTTCGAGGGAGCAGCAGAAGCATGATGGAGGAGGGACGTTAGATTATACGACACCAGGAAATCCCCTGTCTACACCCAACAATTTTTCCTAAATAGTGCGTCCGATTCAAAACATAGTCAACCCTACCGCCTTTGTTGGCTTGCGTCCCTGACCCGTTAGTGTCAGTCGGTCGTCTGCCTGACGTCTTTTTGTTGTCTTCGCCGGCAAGTATCACTGCGACAAAGGCACTCCTGTGTTCCGCCTTGCTCTGGGGCGGGCCTCTTCAAGCCAGCGTTCCTGCGACGCCGACCTGTCTGGAGTCGTTTGCTCTGATGCGAGCCCCTGTGTAAAGACAGGCTTCTCTCCAAAATGGCCGCGTTGTGGCAGCGCCAGCGTTACGGATGGGGCGTCTTTTCACCAGCGTTTCATCCGTGATTGGCTCCGCCCGATCTGATGTGACGCTTCTCTGTCATCACGCGTTCTGTGGCCATGCCCTCTGCTGCCGCCCGCACGGCACCGGTGTCCTTCTGTCACTTCCGGCCCTGCACCGGTGTCCCTCTGTCACCACCCGCCCTGCACCGGTGCCCCTCTGTCACCACCGGCCCCGCACCGGTGCCCTTCTGTCACCATCCGCCCGGCACCGGTGTCCCTCTGTCATCACCTGCCCTGCACCGGTGTCCCTCTGTCATCCCCCACCCTGTGCCGGTGTCCCTCTGTCACCACCCATCCTGCACCGGTGTCCTGTCACCACCCGCCCGGCACCGGTGTCCTTCTGTCATCACCCGCCCTGCACCGGTGTTCCTCTGCCATCACCCGCCCTGTGCCGGTGTCCCTCTGTCACCACCGGCCCTGCACCGGCGTCTCTCTGACACCGCCCGCCCTGCCAACAGCGACGAACGGTGGTCCGGCGTGGACGCGGCCACCAGGGACAGACTCGGAGTCAGCGCGCTAGCAGACGGCGAGTTCTGGATGGAGTTCGCTGACTTCTGCCAGCAGTTCGAGGAGGTTTCGGTCTGCACCCTTGGACCCGACTACGATAAAGACGGCAGGGTGGATCACGTCGGCCAGGTGAGCGGAGCCAAGTCACTCGTAAAACCTGACGTGTTTTTCCTAAAACAGCTGTAACTTACGCACCTAGAAATATTTCTGTGGTGACACATACATAACGTACCAATAGGTTACCTGTATCAGGGGCACGATTTTTAGAAACTTCCTCCACATCAATAGGCCAAAGCTTTCTTCACGCTTATAAATTCAGCATTGTTTTGGCTCAAGTCATACCGCAGCGTCGGTTCGGCTATATCCTCGAACACCCCCGCACGCACCCTATGTCTTGTCTCGAGACCTGTGCACGACAGTAGGCTGATTCCACTTTAGACCATTCTAGTCAACCCCTTACGAACCGATCAATAATACCAAGCCCATACCAAGTCAGTAGAGATTTCAGCTTCCTGTACAGGCAACATATCCAGCGAACTGTTAAAAATGTCGTCTCCAATGACCTAACCTGGATCGGCACACGCAGAGTGAGGACAAGATGGAGTACCGTGGAAACGTTTTGTCACAGAAAACCTGTCTGGTAGACGTTGGTGCAAAACGTGCGTCCATCTTGCACTGGTCTTAAATGTCGGAACTTGCACAGTTGCATCCACCAGCATTTATTGAAATATATCCGGACGGAAGTGTCTTGCAAAATCTGGCCCCTTCCCCATACGAGGACAATAATTTACACATGACTCTCCAGTTTTGGCTTCCGGTTGTAGAATCTCGGGCAAGACATAGTCTGTGCTTGATTTGATGACTCTTAGAGTCTTCTTACATTAAAAACCTTGCCTTTTACAAGCAACCTTTACATACAAGCTTTGAGAATAGCACATGAAACGCCGAACTGAAACATGTCCAAACATCGCACCAGTAACGGCGGCACACGCGCGGGGAAGCCTTCTCATGAGATCATGAGATGAGGCCTGTAATACATGCTCCAGGCTAAACTCTCTCGCCGAGGGATGCTGTCTGACAGACGGCCCTCTGCAGCACTGTTACAGACACGCTGTCTGAAGCGCACTACTGGCCCGTGCCATTGACTATTCGAATTGTGGCTGCACGCTTTGAAGGTGGAAGCAGACGACAGTGAAACTTCTCGTCTTGCTGCGCAGGCTGACTTTGCCGTGCTTCTAGAAGTCTACGAACTGTGTAGCGGGGCATTTGGTCTGGTCCAGAATGAACAGATTTTGCGGAATGCCGCACGTTTGTCATTGAGGCTTGCGTGGAGCAACATTCATGCATGACATGAAATTAATACTTAGTTTAAGTTTGATCGAAGTATAAGTTTAGTTACCTTGAATGTTTTGTTTATGTTACAAGTTTAATTTCTATTGACAATCCAACCAGCTTGATAACGGTTGCTGCGTGCTAAGGCGAAACGAATGACCAGTGATGCCGTTGAACAAAGGTCACCCCAGCGAACATGGGCGACGGTGCCGGACTGAGTCTCCGCGCCATGCCGTCCTTGTTGGAAAGCTGAGCATACGCTCGGCCGCCGCTGTTTGTCAGGGCTAAGCCGCTGTTTTCAGCGAGGCCAGTCGGCCCGCTAACCGTCAAGCATGCTTATCCCTCCTTCCGCCCCCCCCCCCCCCCCCCGCTAATCCTGCACAGTTCGGTGCTCATCGATACGGTGCGTACAGTACAGTACACTTCTTGCCAAATGCTCGAATCAGAGGGAATGTTTCACATTTGAAGATATTCAAGCAGGCATGAGATATGATGAAAGAAGATCGCTTGTAACTATTGGTACACTTTTAGTGGAAAATACTGCACTAGAGGGCATAGTTCCCTGTTGAGTAAATACGCTCCTCAATGCGTCTTAGTTTGACCACGTCATCGTACATTGCAGAACATTGATTGAGAGCCAATTGACGGGCATTATATCCGGAAAGGACACTCACGAACGCCATACATGAACGCCTCGAGAATTATATTTTCCTTGACCTTCATCGCCACATGGCTTTTGGAATGACAGGATTTGGATGGCGTTGTTATGACGTTAGGTGCCAAGGTGACTTTGAAGAGAATGCCAAGGTGACTTTGAAATACTCTCCTCCATATACCTTTCCCCATTTTTACTGGCGTGTAGCTGAAAAACCGGACAGGCTTAGGTCTTAGGAAGGACATGATTGTGAACAACACCGAAACGTCTTCAAGATAGTTATTTCAGTTCAACACCCCATGTAAACGTGGATGATCAAATCTCACAGTATTTTCCTCTAAGATAAACTTACACAGTGTGTCCCTCTAAGATCAAAGCACACAGCGTGTCTGTACTCCTCGCGTGTTATGGTGTACACTGATCGCTCACGTCATCTGGACATGGCCGCGCCAGGTACAACAGATCCGAAGCGAATGGGTGCCTGGCGAGACGGCCGGCGGCAGCAGGAACAACTTCGACAAGTTCGCCACCAACCCGCAGTTCCTGCTCACGGTCATCGACCCCACGCCAGGTCAGCTCACCGATCCCGCTGCCTTTCGGTACGCGCTTGCCGTTGGCCCCCTGACTCGAGAAGTGACATCCCTCTCCGGATCTAACAGGTCTGGATGACGTGTGGTAACACGTTTTCTGAACAACAAGAGTCGACTGAGGAACAAAGCAAAGGGAGTGGCCTAGTATGATTAATGTGAGAACTCTTTAAAAAATCATCTAGCGACAAGGGTCAGGGCAAGGTCTCTTAGTCCATCTTGTGATCTTGATATTTTCTTGAATTTCTAGGCCAGGTTTAACGCATGTTTTTGTCGTATTACCCACGAGCGTGCGGCATTGGATTAGCATTGGTCGAGGCGCACGCGGGGTCGGCCTCCTGACCATACGCCTGGTGACTGAGCATCTCCCCTGCATTGGGCCCGAAGCACCGCTTGGGTGGTGTCCGTTCTTCGCGTCGACTCTCAGGCCAGATCCCCGATGCCACGATCGGTGGACACAACCACTGACGTGCCAGCCGGTCGGAAATGGGGATCGTTCACGCACCGTGGTGCAGCGTTGGTGGTGATGGTCGGCCCAACGAGGTGCCATGGGTGCTACGGGCGTACGTTTTCTGGTGCCGGCAATTTAACGCGATGGCGTTTTGTAGGTTTCAGCGGTGCATTCGGATTCGTGGCATTTAAAAAAACGCTTTATCAGAGGAGTGGGGACTACTGTGCTGCTTTGAACCCGACACCTTCGAACGCTGGTTCGGTGGGCAGCCCGGCGAACGCTACGCGGAGCTGTCATCGTGACGCGGTGTGCGTAGCGGCGGAGGGTGTGGCAGTCGAGGCCAGCCACCGATGACGCACTTCCTTCCCGTAATTTTGACCTGTGCTATCATCTGTGGCCCAGACGAGAACGATGACGAAGACACCGACAAGGTACCCGTGCTGGTCACGCTGATGCAGGAGTACAGGCGGTCACAGCGCCAGTTCGGCATCAAGATGGCGCAGATCGGGTTCCTGTTGTACAAGGTGAACTTCGCGGTCAGCTGTTGTGGAGGCTCGCAGCCCCAAACGGTGCAAGGTTGCTCCCTTCACCCGCTTTGAAACGCCGATCTTCGTGTGTTACTCGCTTCCTTTTCGTCGCGTTTGAAAGGTAACCAAACATCCAGATGTTCTCACAACGAAAAGATGCACGCAGTCGCATGCACAATACTGGCGGGGGGAGGGGGGGGGGGGGGGCTTATAACGCCGTTCAACGCGGCTGGGTGTCGACAGTCCAGGCACCATCACCATTGGTCCCCACTCATCTCCCATTGGCCGCAGGTGGACAATCCGATCCAGCGCGTGCCGAAGCGTTACTTCATGTACCACTACGAGGACGCGTCGTCGGGGACGTATATCAACTACCGAGAGGTGGCGGCGCGGCTCGAGCTCCATCCCGGCCACTACGCCATCATCCCAGCCACGTTCGCGCCCGACACTCCAGCAGCCTTCATGATCCGTGTTTTCTCCTCGGGCACTTTCAAGTTGCGCCAGCTTCCTGATGAGTAGCCTGGCTGCAGCTGCCTGGTGCAGCGGCTGGTCAGCTGCTTGCCGCCCGTGACGGTCGGGAGCGGCGGCAGCGGCAGCGAACCGACCCCCGGTACCGGGCGGTCTCCTGTGACGGTCGGGAGCGGCGGCAGCGGCAGCGGCCCGACCCCTGGTACCGGGCGGTCTCCTGTGACGGTCGGGAGCGGCGGCAGCGGCAGCGACCCGACCCCCGGTACCGGGCGGTCTCCTGTGACGGTCATGGCAGACGCTCCGGCTCGGCCTATGAGTCGCTCATGCGGCGACTCCGGCAGCTGGCGGTAGGCGGCCTGCAGCCCACAGCCCGCCAGACGGAAGGCCGGTCGCGGGTCCGACACAGACGGTCCGACGACGGCAGCACTCAGACGCAGCGCGGCTTGGTTCGACGCCGTGTTCGGGAAAACGCGTGAAGAAATCTGAGCAAGCTGCTGCTGGCTCGCGTCACTCCTGCTGCACCGCGCACTCCTGCCCTGGCCGGAGATGACGTCGACAGGAGTTGAAACGGCGGCTGTGACAGCTGAAAAGAGCGTGGGAGAGGGGGATGGGGGAGAGGAGGGTGATTGCTGGAGCGGTAACAGCGTGCGGAACCGAAATAGGTTGTAGCGGCGCTGCTTCCTGCTTGTGTGGTGACCGTGCACCGTGGTGTGGCCTCCGGAGAGTGGAGCCCCCCCCCCCCCTCCCCCCCCCCAGTCAGCAGCGTGCTTGGGGAGATGTCGGGAAGGTTTGGGGAGCCCAACATTTCCCCAACCGGCTTGGGAAATTGTTAGGGGTTTGCAACCTTTCCCGGATCGAGCCGCCGCCACCAGTTATTGCCCTGTAAAGTTGTAGTTGTATCGAGCCTTTCCGGTATCAGATTTAACTTGTGTATTTTGTTTGCGTGGTCAGATTTGGGATTTGTTTCAGGAAGTCATTTTCGGTGCGATAGGCAGCGTCGGGAACGTTCGAGCTTCGCTGGTCGCATGGTTGGGGAAATGTTGGGAAATCCTGATCAGTATCGGATATTTTTCGGCGCGTGATCGTCATAGGCAACTCTAGGGTTGCGAAACGGTCCGAAACTAGCCATCCAAGCCAGTCAGGTCCGGAACAAGCCATGCCATCCAGGGTGTATTACTTTCGACGCTGTTCCCAAACATTTCCCAACCGGAAAGTTGGGGAAGCACGATGTTCTGCTAACGACTTCAACAGTTCTGAAAATGGTTACCCGTTTTCGGTGTTGGCGCGTGATTAGTACAGGCTCTTGATGTACAGGTAATGGTTTAGCACCGGCGCTCGAGCAGCCGAGGGCAGTTAATTGGTGGTCGGCACAGAATCATGAGCGTGTTTGGTCGGCTGGTGTGTCTGTCTCCGCGCTCTGCGCCGCCTGTGTCAGTAAAACAGCCGAATGCTCGCAGCACAACTTGGCGATAGGTTAAGGCGGTTGGCGTTGACAAAGCCTGCTCAACATGACATGCAGACGCCTGCTGCCATCCCGGATCATAGTCCGCCGCCCGGCCACCACTGTTCTGCACCAGCTGTAAGCAGTGCCGTCCAGGGCGCAACCAAGGCCGGCGAGCTGTGCTGCCCTACGTCAAATGACTTTACTTGGGTGACTCGTGGGCCATCACACAATGACGCCACGAGATGCCTTGGCAAGGCATAGTGGTTGCCGCCACACACCCAGCCTGCGACACACCAGTGGGGGTTGGCCTAGTCACCGCTGAGCGATGTGGTTAGGCTGTTGACTGACAGTCAGCAGTAACGTGGTCGGTGCGGTGACGCGCGAGCACGGCAGCGGGGAGGAACTGAGCCTGTACTTCGGCTATTCCCGGCCCTGGCTGCAGGCGGCCCCGAGCCACCCGTAGATCACGTCGCTTCTGCCGAGGGCGGCAGATACAGCAGGCGTCTGACGTCCGATGTGTTCTCTCCGTGCCTTCTTCGCAGTCTTACCTGGCCATCTGATGCTATGTGTCGTCGCGAACGCGCAAGCTTTGCCTCCTGGTCGACAGACGACGTGCGGTGCGTGCGTCCGACGCGCGCCATGCCATGCGACCTCCGACAGCTCTCCGGACAGCCTGTACATTGTGAGGGGCTACCAGGGGTGCCTGCTGCCTGTTGGGAAGGTCTGTTGTGTGGGTGTGCCAGCGTGCAGCCTGTGGATGGCGCTTGCATATTGGACGGGCCTTCAGAGCAGACCTGAACCCACCGTCAGACAGACAGACAGACAGACAGACAGACAGACAGAGGTGGCTTTGCTGTGCAGGCGTGCACGTGGACAGGTAGACTCCTTAAGGTCCAGCTAACCCACGGACTCGCTGTGGCGTGGCACCACATCCGGGCAAACTGGATGCGGCCAGGCGTTGCAGATGGATGGTGTGTGTTTTGCTGTTTACGCACCACGCTGTGCATTATGTTGGGGTGCTAACTCATGAGCTGTACGTCCGTACAAAACAGTCAGCGACATCCTACACGTCAGGGCTACAAGTACGTTGAGCCCCTAATTGACGCTCCTGATTTGACATCGGCGAAGTAAGTGTGACTGTTGCGTTCGATGGAACAGTCTGTGTCATACGACCAAGCTCCATTAACACTGTGGATTTACCTGTCATTGTGCACTCGTTCTGCCTGCAATATATACATAATATTTCCCGTTATCAGTTGTTGTTTGCAGAGCGAGAGAGACGCATAGAACTTAGATACAGTGTGAACATACCTAGCGGTGTTCTTTCGACGGTGGCCGCTACCGCTGCTTGCTAGCTGTTGCCGTGGGTCGTGCGGATGTATTGAACGTTGTTTATACCAACCCATTAGTGTTACCCCTATCAACATGATTCGCCTTTGGCACTGTGTTTTCGCCTTTGGCACTGTGTTTGAAGGTGATAAATTAGTTGACATCTAAGTTTCGCCTAAAAAAGAAAGCTCACTTGGGCCTTCCCGCTCAACAAGTTTTTCGTTATCGTCTGTTGTGCGAAACTGTTGAAATCATCGGCAGCTACGTTGCTGATTGATGGCGATGTCGCACGGTGCTCGGCTGTTCAGCACGGTGTCGACACTTTCCGCCAGGACGACAGTCGGACGGCATCATGTATCTTCAGACGCTGAGTGAGTCGTAAAGCCCCAACAACAGCAACGACTGTCATTACCGTCGTTGATCACCAAACTTAGCAAGATCACCCTACAAGGTCAAATTCAAGCTCATGGGACGGGAAACACAATAGTGCGCAAAAGTTACTGACCGATTAAGGATTGTAATGCATTAGAGTATTCACCAACGCATGAGCTAGCATCTGTCAGAGTCTTGTTAACACATGCCTGCTTAAGAATTGAGAATATTGCGGCAGTTTTTAGGTAATACCCACCGTTTGAGCCTGAATTTAAACTTGATAGGTGACTGAGATGGCAGGACTGTTTGGTGGACGCTAGCTCATGGGCTGCTGAACATTGTATTGCTTAAAGATATGAAATTGGCCGGTAACTTTTAGGTGACATTAAGTTCCCCGTCCTTTAAATCTGGAGTTGACCTTGAAGGGTGACCATGGAGGCCTGGAATTTTTTAGGACGCCGGTGCATGCGCTAGTTAAGTTCCTCATGCCCAAAAATCTAAAATCGTTTCCGTCGTTTGACCTTATACGAGGACCCCCAGAACTTTGGCCTTTTGACGGTCGTTAGTTTATGCGGTGCTTAGAAACCCGAAATCGCTCACTAACTCTTGGATGATGCGGAATTCCCCGTCATCTGGGCTTAAATTTTACCTTGAGGGACAAGTGATATTGCAAAACAAGTGTGAGACTCGTTCTGTTCTTGTGCCATAATATACCACTTGTTGTGTCTTCAACGAAATCAAAAATATTTGCTAGATAAATTGCCAACTAAATCGCTAGTTTCACTGCCGCATCACTGGTGTCACGAGCGGCCCGGAGCTGGCACCATGCCAGCTCGCACGGGTGGTTCACCGCCGGATGGCGATGTCTGGTTTTTAGGGCCTTGGCGCTCTCTCCCTCTTCAGCGCGGGCTATTGGACTGGAAATGAGTTGGCCTGTGTGACAAAACTATTCCAGCTTTGTAGTGTTTATTTCGTTCATTCAACGTTGTTCATCTGTCAATAGTTTTGCTGAAACGGCCAGAAACCACTCGCAGCAGCCATTAAAAGTAGCAACCATTGTCGTTCTGCATGCGATTTCGACGGTATTCACCAGTGTTGAGTAAGAATGCCGTGTGGTGATCACGCGATGGCGCGATCTGTTGTGTTGCACCCCACGGGCGCGTGGGCACTCTCGTGGTGGCTGGCGGACTTCTTCGAGCGGACGTTGGGACCGGAAGGAGGCTCGAGCCTTGAAGAAATGGTCTTGCGGATGGAAGCAGCAGTGATGCAGGCCCTGCAGCCTGAGGTTCTTCAGAGGCAGGTTCTTCAAGGGCTAGGGCAGAAGATGCTGAAGATGGGCAGTTGCCCCGGGAGTTTGTCGAAGAAGTGAGGGTGCAGCTAGTAACAGTGATGCCAGAACTGACGCGTGATAGTCTAAATCGGCTCTTGATCCTACACGCATTCAAGGGAGCTCCTGTGGAGTGGGGACCATGTCTGCTGAAGGTGAGCTTCTCACGTTGACGAACTTCACGGGAGCTCCTGTGGAGTGGAGACCATGTCTGCTGAAGGTGAGCTTCTCACGTTGACGAACTTCACGGGAGCTCCTGTGGAGTGGAGACCATGTCTGCTGAAGGTGAGCTTCTCACGTTGACGAACTTCACGGGAGCTCCTGTGGAGTGGGGACCATGTCTGCTGAAGGTGAGCTTCTCACGTTGACGAACTTCAAGGGAGCTCCTGTGGAGTGGAGACCATGTCTGCTGAAGGTGAGCTTCTCACGTTGACGAACTTCACGGGAGCTCCTGTGGAGTGGGGACCATGTCTGCTGAAGGTGAGCTTCTCACGTTGACGAACTTCACGGGAGCTCCTGTGGAGTGGGGACCATGTCTGCTGAAGGTGAGCTTCTCACGTTGACGAACTTCACGGGAGCTCCTGTGGAGTGGGGACCATGTCTGCTGAAGGTGAGCTTCTCACGTTGACGAACTTCACGGGAGCTCCTGTGGAGTGGGGACCATGTCTGCTGAAGGTGAGCTTCTCACGTTGACGAACTTCAAGGGAGCTCCTGTGGAGTGGGGACCATGTCTGCTGAAGGTGAGCTTCTCACGTTGACGAACTTCACGGGAGCTCCTGTGGAGTGGAGACCATGTCTGCTGAAGGTGAGCTTCTCACGTTGACGAACTTCACGGGAGCTCCTGTGGAGTGGGGACCATGTCTGCTGAAGGTGAGCTTCTCACGTTGACGAACTTCACGGGAGCTCCTGTGGAGTGGAGACCATGTCTGCTGAAGGTGAGCTTCTCACGTTGACGAACTTCAAGGGAGCTTTTGTGGAGTGGAGACCATGTCTGCTGAAGGTGAGCTTCTCACGTTGACGAACTTCACGGGAGCTCCTGTGGAGTGGGGACCATGTCTGCTGAAGGTGAGCTTCTCACGTTGACGAACTTCACGGGAGCTCCTGTGGAGTGGAGACCATGTCTGCTGAAGGTGAGCTTCTCACGTTGACGAACTTCACGGGAGCTCCTGTGGAGTGGGGACCATGTCTGCTGAAGGTGAGCTTCTCACGTTGACGAACTTCACGGGAGCTCCTGTGGAGTGGAGACCATGTC